CCCTCCTCTTCACTTCCAGTTCAAACTAGGAGACATCACCAGTGACACTAGACAGAGAGGGCCCAGTGTCATTACTTCCTGCTCCTCAGAGCCCTTTCTCCCATGGACTTTGCAGACTTTTATTTAGATCACATTTTTAAAACCAAACCAAACTCCTGAGTCCAGCACCCACTGCTTTTACTGGAGGCAAATACAGTGCATAATGGAAGACTGGGGGATAAAACCACCTTGCCAATCAAGTATGTGCACCCTCATCTACCTGGGATCCCATCCCATGCCCAGTCCCAAGCCCCACCAAGTCCCCAGCCAGCACCACCCACTGCAGCAATTGTGGCCACAGCTCCTGATCACAGGGACATTGGATTGGTCATTGGTGTTTTTGTTGATAAGCTGCTAAAGGCCAGTTGTTCTCCAGAATTTGTTCCGAAGTGGGCACATTGCTTTGAGTTCCCCATGTGGGCCTACAAAGCATATCTGATTAAGGGTAGTGAGAAAGGAAAAAGTTTGCCTTAGTAGGTGGCAGGCAGGCTATGACAAGGACAAATCTCATGGATGGCCAGTGCCGGGGTCCATGCTGTTCTTCATCTTCCAGGTGGGGAGATAGGATCAGACAAGGGCTTAAAAGCTGGAGGTACTCCATACCAACCTGGCCCAAGCTCTTCAGAGAAGACTTCGGAGGAGCACTGTTCTTTTGAACATTCACTTTACTGGAAGACAGTAGTAGCTGCACACATTGGCCGGGGCTAGAAGTGTGGTTTTCCCCATGTGGCGGAATTGCTCTCATTTTCAAACATGATACAGGACATAATGACCGTTGGTAATGATCACATTAGCATCATGGAGCAATATATCTACAATAAATTAAGACCGCTTTGCAATTAGTACCGGTGATCACAGCTGTGGAGACAAATGGCATATGTGCTAATTAAATAATTTGTCACTTGACTGTTAAACAAACAATTCTGCCTCTTTACGTTACAAACTGCCATCTCCAGAACACCACCATGGGCCATTAACCCCGTGCAAGGAACAGCTTGTCGTGCCCACAATTGCTGGGGAGCAATGCCTGCCTGGCAGGAGAAAAGGTGACAGGGAACATTCACTTGGATTACAAGTCCCCTTGGACCTTGGAAGTTTTCCTGCAAAATGAGTTCCGGGAGGACAAAACAAACTCTGCCACTCAGCAAACATTTGGAAAATAGCCCACCCCGATGCTGAGATTTCTGAGCTGTACCGGATGTGCCCTTATTGAAGTGAGCCATCAAATTGGCTGCAACCAACAAAAACGGCATCACATTATTTGTCAAATTAATCTTGTGTCTTCAGTCACAACCTCCTCCCCATTTGCAACACACCTTTTTACAGTTTTTCTTTTCTTTTTTACATTTATAGCATTTTCCATCCCAAATGCTAATCCATAAAGCTGAATTGTGAAATCTGGATTTAGCGGGGGCTGCTGCTAGCCCATACAATGGCTTTGTGCGGAGCACCAAGCTTGGTGAGCAGGGTGTAGGCTGGAGTTGAGTCCCCACTCACCCCCTTGGTTCAGGGCCCTTGTGCAGTGAACAACCTGCCCAACCATCCAGGCAGTCCTATCTCGGTTGCCTCTGAAACCGGGAAAGTTTTTGGGTAAAGTTGCAGAAAACTCCCAAGCCAATTATCACCATTATCCCTTCTTCCTCCTCCTTTTGTCAGAGTTGTTAACTTACAGAACTTGATTTCGCCTTCTTATTCCTGCCCTTTCTTGGTACAAGTGGCACAGCAGTCAGACAGAGGAAAAGGACAAAGCAGTAAGGACTTGGAGTAGTCGACTATTCATCAAATCCCTCGTCAGGTGCCACATTTCCAAGGAGCGTTCAGCACTGGGATGGTGTTGAGTATGAGTCACTTATGATGTAATAGTTTGGGGTAAAACACTCAGGTAGTTTAAGTTCCATCAAAGCGATTGTATTGCAGCAAATTTCCATCATGCAGGAAAGAAGTTCCCAAAAACCCTGAGCACTGAGTCTTCCTGCAGGAAGTTGGATGCCTGGATAATTTCACCTTAGTCTTTAAGAGCTACTTTTGTGCAGAATTATGGGAGCAGAAAGGGAATTCAGTGTTTTATTTTTATGGGAATCTGACTGTTTGAACACTAACAGAGGCAAGTTCATCATGAAGATGATGTGTTACTCACCGAAAAGCCATTTTGTCTCTTTTATAGAGTGAAACCTGGATTTATCCCAGGAGGATTGGGGCATGGAGAATCTCAGCTAACATCACTTAGGACAGAGCTGGGCACATGGTAAGTGCTCAGTGAGTGTTAGCTCCTGTTACTGTTGCCATCATTATTGTTATAACTGAATTTCATATCATCAAGTGTCTTCTCCAGCACTTGTTCATATTGTCTGTTAGGTGTGTGCAGAGTGGGGGACGGGGATTCCCATGGAGCAGTGTTTCTAAAAGAACTTTCCTGAAGCCCATTCATGCATCAAAAATGTGGGAGAGTGCAAGGGAGTTTAAGACGTTTTTGAAGCACTGTCAGACACAAGATGTTTTCTTACAACCCTACAAGATGCCCTATTCTCTGGAGCGTTTTGGAGAGGACAGTCTGTTTTCGAGGCAGCATCCTGCCTTCTGGGACCGCAGCTTTCATCTGCCCAGGTGAGGCTACCATGCAAATCAGGAACCACCCAGAGCAGCCAGCAGTCCTATCAGTGGGTGGAGAGCCCTCAGGCTGCAGGACAACCAGGAGGCCAAGTCATCCAAGCTTCTCATTTCACAGAGGGAAGAAATGGAAATAAGTATGAGGCCACAGTGATCCCCCCAGATCATCCTGTTCTTTTCCTTCTCTTTGTGTGTGGGCTCCCTCTTCTTCCACCCCTCACCATTTTCTGATCTAAGATGAAGAAATCCAGATTGTATCCTTTCTTCATAATATTCATTAAGACTCAGAGATTCCACCAACCATCTACTTATTTACTGTATAAAATATTTTTCTATATAATCTTTCTGCCTTCTAATGGAGATTTGTGGTGAAAAACCTGGGTAGGCAAAGTCTTGGGTAGCCCCAGTGAGAACAAAGCAGGAATCTGTAAAGGATAAAAGCTTAGAGTCCTGAATAGCTTCCTGACAATTGTCCAAGGGCATGCAATCCTGGGGACACAGGGGACACAAGCTACCACCTCACCCACTGGCTGACCCAATTAGACCACATCCTGTCATTCAGAAAAAATCGATAAATTTTGTATCATGTCCCCAAGATCCTGGAGCAAACTAAGAATTTTAATATTCAAAGTCACTTATTTATACTGTGTTCCCAAAGCATATACAATAAATGTATGTATAACTTAGGGTTTATTAAAACGTTTTGCCATACATTTCTAGAACCTTGAAAATATTGTCAGTACTTTAAAAAGATAACTTATTTTTCTCAAAAATGCATTCCATCATTTGAAAATCAAATAGTACTTACATGAATTATAGCCAATAAACACATCACACCCCTGAGGCAACAAAACGTTTTATCTGGTTTTTTTTTCTTTTTTTCTGGAATTTACCTCCACATTTCTAGATGATATGTTTCCAGGAGATTTAGATTTTCAACACCATTATTCAAAGTTTTTTTTTTAAATTCAGCTATTCTATTCTAATTTTCAAGAATTTTTCTTCCCTGACTGGTCCATTTTTATATCCTTTTCTTATTTCATGGACAGATATCTTCTTTTATGTCTCTGAAAAGGCTATAGTTTTTAAAAAAACATTAACTTACTGAAGTGTTTACTATATTATCTCTAGTCCTTCTGGGTTCATTTTTGTTGACTTGTTTTTGTCTTCACCTTTCCTGCTGGAGCTTTTCTCCAATGGCTGGTGATTAAGGCAGAGGCACTAACTAAGCAGCTGATTGTGTATCTCTGGGCATGTGGCTTCACTGTGCGATCAGGTGGATTCCAGACAGCATCACCTCCTGATATCACTGCGGAATTATTCCTTCATTGTGTGTCTCCTCCTGGCCTTGCATAAGTTCCATGAACACAAAAGTTTGCTTGTTATGTTCACTGCTATAGTCTCAGTACCTGGGACAGTGCCTGGCCCATAATAAATGCTCGAAAAACACTTAGATGAACAAAGAAATGCTCTGCAGAGCACAGAGGGAGTGAGAACCCAGGAGAGGGAGAAATTAACGTTGCTGTAGTGCAATTGGGAAGGTTTTTGGAAGACAGAGATTTGATCAGAAACCTGAAGAATGACCACCTTCAGGCAGAGATAAGAGGGAAAGAGGACAACAATGGTCTGAAAGGAGGCACAGACCATTTGACCTCTGAGGGCCTTAAACATCATCTGTCCAGTACTTTTCAACCTGTGGGGCACTAACCATGCATAGATCTTAAAATCAATTCAGTGGGTATTGACCAGCATTTAGAAAAAGTCGAAAACATCAGACTGCATCATAGATAGCTAGTGTGAGTTTGGTGAAATTTTATTTTATTTTAGGAGTATGCACATATGTTTGTGTGTGTGTTTGTCTGTCTGCAGGATCATCATGTAAAACTTGTTTCTCACTCTGTACAAAAAAGTTTAAAAAACACTGTCCTAGAATTGACCTCCCACCAAATCTAGGATGTTCCTCTCTGGTGAACACACATTACTGCCATATAGTCATTTGACTCCTGTTTTTCAGGACTGCTGATGAGAACTCACTACCTCCCAGACTGCTGTGCAGCATCAGCTGCTAGAAACTGTCCTTTATCCTTTCTTTCATTAAGAGAAACTATGCAAACCAAGCCACTGTGTCTTTGTTTTTTATTTGCTTTTTATTTTGAAAATTTTAAAAATACAAAATACACAGAATAACACGTGATACCCCAAATTTTCAACTGTTAACATTTTCAAATTTTTTAAAAGGAAGATACCTTTATCCCCCCCTCTCCCCCCATTTCTCTCCTTACTTCTTCCTGGGAAGTATCGCATGTCTGTTGATATCCTTTTTCTCCAGTTTTAATACTTTTATATGTATCCGGGAACAACATAGGTATTATTTGGTTTTTGGCTTTGAGTTATATCGATATATAAACATATCACTTTGTGTCTTGTTTTCTTCACTGGAACTTGGGGCTTTGAGATCACAGGGGAAGCTCTCAATCCAAAGGATTTGTAGCCAGACTTTGAGAATGCCTATAGATTCTGCTTCAGGGGGCAATTTTCTATTTCTGCAGCTTGCAGGTGGCGAATCTGCTCGCCTGTGCAGGATGACACTTCCTTCCTATTCCCTGGAATGCCAAGGTTGCTCCCAGTAACCTGGGCAAGAAAGTAACAGATGAATTGCACTTGACATGTGCTCGAAGGGAACACTGAGCATCTTCCCCACATGGGGGTTTGCACAGTCCCGGTCCTAAAAGTAAGCCTCTCTTTGGGGAAATCTGTGCTCTGGCCCTGAGAGGCTTAAGACCAGTTCTGGCAAAAAATATGTAGATATAAAATGGGATAATATAAGTTTGAGTTTCTTTTACAGCACGAGCTGGGAGCGTTCCTACGATGCCAAGACACCACTGAGGAGTTTTCCATGCATTCTTTTATTCATGCAGTCAACATCTGTTGAGCACCTACAGTGTTGCTCTGAAGCAGTGTGGCAAGGTGGTGAAATGAATAGGACTTGGCACAGACACCTGAATTCTAGCCATGGCTGTGTGTCTTTGGGCAAGTTACTTACTTCTCTGAGCCTTAGTTCCCTTAACTCTATATGAAAAATAATCAAAGTGTCTACTTATAGGATCGCTTTAAGGATTAAATAAATTGATGCATGTAGAAAGTACAAACATCAGTTGTTTTGCTTTATTATTGCTTTTAACCATGCGCTGTGCTAGGCTATGGAGACACAGAGATGGATAGAACCCCCCTTCCCCCACCCACCACCCCTGGAAGACTTTATAATCTAGTGAGCTGCCTTTTGACCTTTCTCTCTTTTTCTTCCCCACTACTTCCTGAAATTAAAAAAAAAAATGTCGCAAGTACAAACTACCCCCATAGGCCATCAGAATGATGCTTGAATCTGGAGGGTGTGTGGGGAGTGGCAGGGCAACGTTTCACACCAAACTGGCTGACCATCATCTGGGGAGAGACGTGGATTGGCAGAGTTAGAGGAAAATAACAAATCAACAGCCTCTTCCCCAGGGGCTCAGGAATGTCCCTGAGCCTTCGCTCTGGTGAGCTCTGCGAGGAGGGCTATAAATAGCAGAAGCCGGCCAGGATTAAGACAGCCTTTCAATCACAAGTCTGAGAAGTTGTGATTTTCCTAGACAAACCCTATAGCTTCTGATGGGTGGGGGGTAGGGGGGAGACATGCAACTTTCTCATGCATTTGATTAGAACTTCGGCAAAGTTGAGAAAAATTTTCATATTCTCTAAACTCCTACTTGCTCCACCCTAACCTTGCCTAACTACTACTTGATTCCTTTTTGCAAAGGCTATTTTCAAAGATAGAATTGCTTAATGACTCTCAAACTTACCAAAAAGTCAATTCTCTTGGTTGCCTGTTTGTGTGATAACACATATGAGGGTATTTCCAAAAGCTCATGGAAAGATTTGCATTATCTTTTCTTTTTATCTTTTCACAAGTTTTTTGAAGTACCCTGGTATATTTAAAAAATGCTGTCCATTTTATTTTATTTTATTATTTTATTCTTTTTATGTTTAAGGGTTAATAGGGATTTATTATCTTTCAACTCCTTTGTAGCTTAGAATTTTTTCAAAATAAGAAGTTGGGGATAAAATCTAAAAAATAATGCTGGTTATCTCCAGATGGGGTGTTTTTAATTTTCTTCTTTATCTTTTTCTGTATTCTCCAAATATTTCTGTTATTAGAGAAAGTTGGTGTTTTATATAGAATAAAAAATGTGTCTATTCATGCAATTTCTTCCAACTGTGAGCAAGGCAGCAGAAAGTATGGGGCATGAAGCTTCAGAAGATCAGGGTTCCTGTCCAAGCTTTTACACTATGGGCTTGTTTCCTCATCAAAATGCAACCCACTGTAATTTGCATCTGCAGCTCACCTCAAAATCTACAGCAATACATTCGTCAAGGAGGGCAGGATAGAAACCAGTAGGCAGGGAGATGGTTAAACTTCAGTTAAAATTAATAGCTGCGAAAATAAAATGTATAAAATCAAGTCTTGTTTCAAGTTTTATATTTAATTTTACAACTTACTATTTGGAATAGATTAATGCCAGAATTTGCCTGTTATGAAGTATTTGTAAATAAAATAGGCCCAAATGTTTATGTCCGTGTTTTAAGTACAGAAACCAAATCCTTAAGAGTTTGGGGTGGGGGTCATACCTTCCCCCAAACTCCTAATCAAATCGGTGGCCCGGGACCAGGGTGCCAACGCCAGCTCCACTCAGCCTCCTCAGCAAGTCAGTTTCTGTCTGAGAATCCACGTGCAGAAGCAGCCTCCTCCCTGGGAAGGTACTGGAATCTTTTGAATGAAGCGCATAGATCACTTTTAGATGGGGCCCAGCACTGGACATGGGGGAGGGTGAAGACTCAAAAAGTTAGGATATTCTGATGTAAACAATCACAAAATCCCTGTTCCCACTGTTATTCTTTCCTTAAAACTTTTTCACTTTGGGGGGAAAAACTTTAAAAAATTATTACTAAAAAGCTGGAAAATAGTGGGGAGGAGGAATCACCCATAATGGCATGACCGAAATGCAACTATTTTAATGTTTCTGTATTCCCTTTCAGTTGTTTATCTATGTGCAAAAAGTTCGTGATCTATTTTTCTCCTAAACATTGCCATAGGTTAATACAGTCTTCAGAGTAATTATTTTAATGGGTACATAATATTTCATTGAGTGGGTGGATCATCATTTAACCATTTCCCTATTGATAGGCATTGAGATTGCTTCTACTTTTTCTCTATTATAAGTAAGTATACTGAAGATTATATATACATATATCCGGAAAGAACGTATACAGTCCTCACTCCATATCCATGGGTTCCACATCCTGGATTCAACCAACCATGGATTGAAAATATTCAGAAAAAAAGTTGCATCTGGACTGAACATGTACAGACTTTTTTTCTTGTCTTTATTTCCTAGATAATACAGTATAACAACTATTTACATAGCATTTACATTGTGTTACTATACATAATCTAGAGATGATTAAAAGTATACAGAAGGATGTGCATAGGTTATATGTAAATACTATGCCATTTCATATTGGGGAATTTTGGTATCCAAGGGAGGTCAAGGAACAAATCCCCCATGGATACCAAGGGACAACTGAATATGTGTATATACATATATACTTTTAAAATAAGATAGGAAGGGCCGAGCCCGTGGTGCACTCGGGAGAGTGCGGCGCTGGGAGCGGAGCAGCGCTCCTGCCGCGGGTTCGGATCCTATATAGGGATGGCCGGTGCGATGCGCTCACTGGCTGAGCGCGGTGCAGCCGGTCACAAAAAGGAGAAAAAAAAAATAATAAAATAAAATAAAATAGGAAAATTCCTAGCTTCCAGGAGTTATCCTTTAATGAGTTAGCTCTATGTGTGGATTTGTCACTCATGTAATCTTGACATGAGCCCTAAAAATAGGTATAACTATTATCCTTATTTTACAGCTAAAGCAGTGGAGAGAGAGGCTCAGAGAGTTTAAGGAACTCACCAAACGTTAAACAGCAGTGGAGCAATGATTCAAACCCCAGAGTCTGACTCCGGAGCCCTTTCCCCTTAACTGAGGCACTGTGCTGCTTCTCACTGTCCATTATGTCAAATTACATACTTAGTGCATGTGATGGGGAATGTGCACCTTACTCCCGTCTACACACACACACACACACGCATGCACACACACACACACATATGCATGCACGCACACACACACACACACACACACACACACACACACGGTGGCCCCCCGAATTTTCTTCCTAGGACCAGTTGTGACACAACTTTCAAATCAGCAGAATGCAAGGGAGGAAGTCAGGGTTTGTACTTTCAGTTTTGTTCAACCCTGTGAATAAGGAGCCCCATTTTCCCATCCTGGTCACGGAGTATTCCTGAATTGTCCCTGAGTGGAAGGGAGAGATTTATGGACTGAATCCTGGTCCAAGTCAGAGAGAAAAGTACCCTTTAGAAAGACATCTTCTGATGATTATTTTGGGAGACTTTCTGGTAATCCCCAGCAAATCTGCATGTTAATAGGAATCATTTACTCAAAGCAGGGGTCCAGGAAAATAGCTTTACATAATAAGAGTAGCTTGATTTGATTACTTCAGTTCAGTTCTTGCTATTGAATTAAAGGTAAAGCCAAGCTTTTGGAAGTTTTACAGACTGATAAACAAAATGAGAATAGTAAATTAAGACTAACTCTGGTTTCAACCTGCACATCTTTATTACTTCTAATGACCAGGGAGATGTAAACAGGATCGAGAAGTAAAAACCGTTGATAATCTCCTTAGCATTCTGGATGATGTATTGGTTTCTTTCCCACATTGAGAGCTCTAAGCCCGCCTAATATTAAGACTTCTTGGCAGCTCCTTCCTGAAGAAGGAATATGCCTTATGGCTCCCCAAAATGCTGATAGACATTTCCAGTTGCATTTGGCCATGTTAAGTCACAGCAGTACTTTTTTTTTATTCTACTAATTTTACCTTTACAGAAGAGTCACAAAAATAATTCAGCGAATTCCTGTATATCCTTCACTCAGCTTCCCCTCTGTTAACATCTTACATACCACACAGCATTTATCAAAATTAAGAAATTAACCTTGGCATGATACTATTAACTAAAGTACAGAACTTAGTCACGTTACCAGTTCTTCCACTAATGTCCTTTTCCGTTCCAGGATTCAATCCCAGATCTCACACTGCATTTAGCTATCACATCTCTATGGCCTTCTCCAGTCTGTGACAGCTCCTCAGTCTTTTGTATATATTATGGTAGTATATAAATCATATATACATCATCTTGCTAAACCTCTTCACACACTCTCTCTCTTTCTGATATCTGCTTTTGACTTGTACCAGGCCACCCATACCACATATCATGTATCAGTTTCCTCACTCAGAAATAAGGCATGCCAACCAGAAGGTGAGTCAGGCCCGTGGTATTGAACAAGTATTGCTGGCTGGCAATGCTCAATCTGTAACTGCCTTTAAGGGTCTGAGCTATGTGGCCCAGTCAGGACTTCCCAGCCAACCCATCCAGGGAGTTTAAAGTAAGAATTCAACTTCTGTGTGCTCTGTTCATGTTCAAATCTCACAGTGTGCCTAAGTCCTTGACTTTTGGTTTCAATAAACTTTGCTGAGTTTGAATAAATAAAAACTAGTTTTTCTTTTGAAAATATAAGAAGATAGATCCGATGCCCCAAGAAGGGGTAGCTAATAACAAGAGAGGGCACTGTAAAATAGAAAAAAAGAAAAAGAAAAACTATTCCATAGAACAGAAGTCAGGGCTATTCACACGTGCACAATATGTTTAAAATTCTAAGAAAAGGACACCAGAAAAAGTTGAATCTGTGTTTATAAACTCTGTTTAAGAAGGCAGGGACATGCACACATTTTTAAAAAAAAAAAGGTTTTTGCCTAAAATTGCTAGTTTTAAAACAAATTTTGATACCATATTAAATAAGTATAATTTAGAAATGAAATTAATGTGAAGCTCCTTTTGCTTCATTATGCCAGATACAATATATTATTTGGGGTTTCCTAAAAAGTTCATGCAAAGAGTCCTCCTGACGAAATGAGAGTGGGCCACCCTACCTAGTGGAGCATATATTTGTGTTTTCTGCAGATGGGCTAGCTGGGAGTGCACTGTTGGAAGAGGCTCCCAGTATTATCTTGCCCCACCCCTGTACATATCCGCACCCCCACTTTGCAGATACCCACACAAACATCTCCACAGCAGCTGGTGGGCTGGACCCAATCAGCCAGTGTGGGGTGAACAGAATGCATGATTGATGGGAGAACCCCTTGGAGAACAGACTCTGAGTCCAGGAGCCAAATGGTTCCTTGCACAGAGCCAAAAGGATAAGGGTGGGCAATCAGTTTGGGGGCAAGAAGCAATTCCACCAACATGCGACACCCTTTCTTTGTCTGCACAACCCTGGTATTGTCTGTGATATAATGCTGTTCAGTGTCCACTGCTGCTACACACAAGGCCCAGTCCTGTCTTCTGTGAACAACTCAAATATTAATTTTGACAGCAGTGGGTGTTACTCACACACAGACTCTGAACAGATTCCCCATTTGACGTGCAGAGGAAGGAAGAAAGAATGTTTTTATTTATTTATTTTATTTGGTGGCTGGTTCTTCTTGCTCTCCAAGAAAGCTTGTTTGGGAATATTGAAAACCAAAACCCACAGCCCCTTTGCTGGGTTAATAGCATGGTCCAAGGAGTAATATGTGTCAGGCTTTCAAGATGTCATGGACTGGGTGGAGAAGGAGCAGGACTGGTGGGGGTGGCTTTTCCCCCACATCACCTGGGTTTATGGCCCTTCAATATCAAGGTGAGATATTTTTACGTGTAGGTCATTCCCATTTTATTCTGATTGAAGTCTCTATTAAAATAATTATTTCACTTAAAATTAGTAAGCCAAGTTACTTGACAAGGTATAAAATTAAGAAAAGATAAACAGAGAGATGAATGAATGACGTAACGGAATTGCTCAAGTGCTTTAGAAGTTCTCCTCTGAGTTAAAACTATCCTTTCTTGTTAAAGAAAAGTTAAAACATAAAATATGCCCATTTTCAATTTAAAGAAATTTTGCCCCTATTTCTGCTATCCTCTATGACAACTGCTTTTATTTCTTTGTCATAAGGACTCATCTCTTTGGATTTTTATTTACATATCTAATGTTTTAACATTGTTTTGACAGTTCTGTACATAGGATGTTGTGTTTTCCCACAGTCCTAATTACTTGTTATCTTTATCATTTTTAGTAAATAGGTAATATTCCATTACACCAATATTACAGAATTTGTTTAGCCCATTGCGAAACCTTCAGGTTATTTTCAGCTTTCCGCTATCATAAATAACACTGCTATAAATATATCAATGCATACACCATTTCTTCTTTTAAGTTACTTCCTTGAAATAAATTCCAAAGAATGAGATTACAGGGTCAAAGAGTAAAAACATTTAAATGACCTTTAACCTGCATGGATTTCCAAATGCCCTCAAAAGTCATTGTACCAGTTTTCAAAGAGTGATATATCGGCTTTCCCCGTGGTCTCATCAACTTTGAGTTGTAGGGTTTCTCTGTATTTTTAGTTCTTCAATCTCAATTGGTTGAGATTAAATAATATGCCATGGGAGTATTATTATAAGTAGTTATATAATTCTCTGATTACTTAATAATGCTTAGGACATAAAAGAAAGGAAAATAAAACAGAAAAAACCAGCCGAATGAAACACTTTCTCAGTAGTGCTAAATGCCTTTGTATATTG